TATAGGTATGACTTGTTTCATGTTTTCGGGCAGCCGAGGTCGAAATGAATAAGGCCGAACTGAATCGACTGAGACAGCTTCAGATCGTACAACAACACCAGAAGCTGCAGGCGCAGGCAAGCATGGGTGGTTGGGAACATGGATTCACTGAGCAGATGGTGAATCCAGGTCTGTCACAGTCCGGGACTGGACAGACCACGTACGTCCATCCAAACCAAGGTAAATTTAGGTTGATCACGTAACCCGATTCATTAGTTGGGACTATAATCAGTTCTCGATCAAATAAAAAAAATATACAATATATAATATATATCGCATACCAGTTACACTTACAAATCCGATATTGATCTCACTCATTGCATAATGCATACGAAAATAAAATTAACATGGTGAATGAAAGAGTGGCCTCATTTCCTTCCCAATATAATTAATGAGCAAACAAACATTAATTAATAGAAAAAATTGGGATATAATTATCACACAATTATGGTTGAAAGAAGACGAAATGAAAACCATTCACAGGGTTATCTGGCTAATATCACAACGGCCTCATCGAAATTTTCAGGAGTCAAAAAGGTCTCAAACTCATGCTTGGAGGTTTGTGGCAGAGGAAATGATTGATGTGTCTTTGCATGCACTTGCTTTCTTTTTGTTTGTTTGTGTTTAAACCTGGACTGATTTTCAAATTTTGAAAATTATTAATTCCATTTGGAGGCATAACATTGGTAATTCTTTTGGATAATTGTGGTTTTAACTTCGCAATTTACTTGTTAATATGATGAATTCTTATTGGACATATATAAAAGGTATAATTTTTTAAATTAACATAATAATAAATAAAATATTTAAATTAGATTATGATTATCACGTTAATAAGATACATAGTTTTTAAACCATGAATATGTAACTCTTCTGCAGCCGTTGTTGGAGACAATACAGCAGAAATAATCAGCAGGCTGACCCAAACTAGCTTGAACGCGCAACAGGAACCACCTGGACAGATTCCAATGCCTGGCTGGGAACCAGGGCTAGAACCGCTGCTAAATCCGGGCTTCAACCAACCTCTACCGGGGCTGTTGCAGAACCCAAGCTTGAATCAATCAACACAGCTGCAGAATGGGAGTCTGAACCCAACCCTGGGAGGGCTGTTGCAGAATCCAAGCTTGAATCAATCAACACAGATGCAGCATGGGAGTCTCAACCCAACCCTGGGAGGGCTGTTGCAGAATCCAAGCTTGAATC